ATGAGATTTTGGCCAGGGAGCTACTGATACAGTCACCCGAACAGTTGAGGTTTTCAACTTGAGCAAGTATTCTCCTTAAGCACTGTTCCCTGGAGGGTGGGTAGCCGGTGGGGTAAATATACCTATGAAGTCTTTTCCTGTCTCAGTGTTGAAGGTTATACCAAATGTTTGCTTCGTAGCAAATGCTGTAAGAGGACACCGTTCAAACAGAATTTTCTGCGATAATGGCAACTTTTTTTTTTAATCTGAGCTGTCCAAAGCAGTAGATGCTGAGCACACAGGGCTACTGAGTACTTGAAAGGTGGCTAGTGCAATTAAGGAACTGAATTTTTTTTTTATCGTATTTTGTTTTAATTAGTTTAAATTTAAAGAGCCATCTGTGGCCTGTGGCTACTGTCTAGGCAGCTCCGGAATCTAGACATACTTAAGGGAGCTTATTTCTCAGGAAGGTACTAACAAAAGGCTTAGGTTAGATCAAAACCTGAGCAACATCTGTGATGGTTCATAGAATCCTTGCAGGGGGAAAAGGTTCAAACAGTTTAGTTCAAGATCTGAAGGAAGGCTACGGCCAGGTAGCCTGAAAAGTAGCCTGAATTTTCTCAATTCTGTACCAGATCCTTACAAACTTTGATCTTGATGGGCCCGCTACACACAGTGTGCGTGACAGGAGACAGTGACTTAGAGAACCTTGCGACTCAGAGTGTGGTCCACGGACCAAGAGCATTACCATCATTTAGAAGCTTGTTATAAATGCAGAATTGCTGGCTCAGCTCCCAACCTGCTGAATCAGAATCTGCCTCTTAACAAGATCTCCGGGGATTCAAAGGCACATTCAACTGTGAGAAGCCGCTGCTGTTGTGGAAAGGCTTTGGAGTTGGGCGGGATCTGGGTTCAAATCTGATTGAGTCTCAGGCCACAATTGTCTCACCTGCGAAAAGGAGGTAATACCACCTACCTCAAAAGGTTATTGCCAAAATTCAGTGAGTTCGTGTATTAAAAAGAAAGGAGCTTGAGGTCTAGTTTATGTTGGATGATTAATCATTCATTCCTTCATTTATTCAACAGGTTATTCCTGACTGCCTGTTTTATTCCAAGCCCACTTCCTAGCCTCTGTTTAAAACCCCCTCCAGGAAAAACGACAACAGTAACAAAAACTCAGGGAAGAAAAACATTTTGTTGGGGATGGGAAGGAAAGAAAATCTTCCTCTCCCACAGTTTTAATACTAGAACATGGACAAAACTTATCTTTATAGGATTCTTGGGTCTTTTGGGATCTTTATTGATTCTCAAAGCCCAGGGGATTTTCTCCACAATCCTCGGACTTTTAACTAAGGATAAGTGTGTAGGGAGGGAAGAATAAGAGAAAGATGTGGGAATTAGGCACATAGTGAAGGTTTGTTGTTGTCTTGCCAAAAAATAAAAAGCATGAGAGCAGTCTTAAAAATTAAGCACAAACTGTGAACCACACACATTTTCTTTTATTAGTTTCCTGAAAAGAGCAGCGGCAGCCGTTCTCACTGGAGGCCCCACTGATAGGACAGGAAATGTAAGGGGTGTTCTTTTCTAGGCCCCAGGCAAAAAGGGTTTCTCACCCGAGCCAGTAGGTGTTACTCTGCTAAAGCCTGCTTGAGTGGGTCTGTTCGATGGCTGGCACATGGCCATCTAGGGGTTTTGTTTCCCAGACCACAGGAGCCCATTTTTCCAAGAGTTCCACTAGCTTTTTGTTTGATAACATCTATTTCTAGCAGCATGTACTCCTTCAACAGCAACTTCGATGAAACGAAGATTTACTGAACACCTACTATTGGGCAGGCCCTCTGCTGGGGATACAGAGATGAATAAGGAACAGTTGCTCCACTCCAGGGGCTCAGACAAAAGTAACTTCCACTGCATTCCTTCAGGTGATGGCTATTATCACCACTGTGTCTTCTTATTGCTGGGTGGGGTGGAAAAAGAGAAAATCTTTTGGCTTCCTTGGCTGCCTCCTTTAAATGCCCACTGACCTCACAGTGCTCTGCCCAGGTCCCAGGGGCTTGAAGGGTTAATTACTTGCTTGCTGTGGCTGGTTCATTGTTCCCCTGTACTTCCCACCCCTCTCCAATTCTATCTCCAATTGTAAAATTTGTTTAGTATACGTTAATAATGTTTTTCTTTTCACAGAGGTAGTGTACATTCATTCTAAAAAAATACAGATAAACAAAATGAAGAAATGTTTTAAAGCCTTCCTCAATCCCACTGCCTAGAGATAACCTGTTTTAATAAAAAGGATCCTTTTAAAAATTATAACAGTAATATAATTTCATATGAAGCACAAAATATAGAGGAGGGCAATCAGGCATAATCCAGTCTTCTGGGGCATGATCATTTTGGAATTTTGTCTTTCCAGTCTCCTTGCAGCTGCTATAAATGATGCCTAACAGCCTGCTAGAGTCATTATCTCCTTGTATACGATGTACACATGCAAACCAGGAAGGGGTACTTTTAGCCACCCTGGTGAATAAGAACATGTATGATTTTATAAAAAAAAACACATTTAGAAGTTTGGTGTAATTAGCTCAATTTCTGCTGCTGTTCACATTTCATCCCTGGGGACAGACTCTGACCCAAGAAAAGTGTCTTTCTTCCATGTCATCTGAAATGGGACATAGAGAAATCTCTACTTTAAGAATGTCCAGGACAAGAATTCCTAGTGAATTCACAGGGAAGAGCGCGTGAATATCATCAAGAGCCTCCCACGTGCCAAGCTCATGTCAGTTACCGCTCACCACAGTTCTGCAAAATAGCTATTATCATGCCTGGTTTACAGATGATGAAAGAAAATTTCAGAGGCTTGCCCGAGATCTTCCAGCCAGTACTCAGCGGGACTAGACCCCAGAGCGGAGAGGCAGTGGGTAGAGAGAATGAAAAGCCTATGCCAGACTGGGGTTCAGAACCCCACTGGTCCCACCCACGGGGACCTCGGGCAAGTTAACAATCTGAGTTTCCCTGAACTGGACTTGAGTGTGACGCCACTAGCCTGAAGGGCGGACCTAAGGAACAGTCCTGAGAATCAAGCATGGAGTCCACTGTAAGGGTGTTGTGGGGGACCCTGTTGGGCAAGTCCCAGTTGTCTTTTATGGGGACATCTGAAAGAAATTCCTGTTTGATTTTAACTCTAAGGACAGGTGACTCCTGAGCAGCTTGTTTGCTATCTTATGGCTTCCAACTTGTCAGGTTTCCCTGTGGCCTTGTTTCCTAGAAAATCTCTGAGCCCAGGTTAAGGCCCACCTCTACGAAGAGTTAGATTAGACACGTTTAGCCTCACTCCTGTTTCGCTCCAGTTTTAATTTCTTTGTTCACTCCCACATTTGCATGATTTTCTTGAATCCTTTGTATTCCTATGAGCTCTTTTACATTCTTTCAGATTTAACCTTCCATTTCCTCTTCTGTGAAGTGGGGGTAGTATTTATTTTAAGGGTATAAGGCACTTAGCACAGTGCCTGGACCATATTAGATGTTCAATAAATGGTGTGTCCTTCATGCTTTTGGAATAAGCCTTTGTCCCTTCATTTAAAATGGGCGCTATTTGCATTCTGAAAGATTTTCCGGTTTACAACAGAGTTCAATACAGAGTTCTTTTAATAATAAACAAATATGTTCAAAGTCGGACTCCATTTTCACTTGCCTTCCAGAGTATCCCTCAGTGAACCTGTCTGTAATTGGCAAAGGGCTGGCCCACCAACTCCTCCTTCCACCTGCTCCACGCCAGTGTGGCTACTTGTGTGCTATTTGCGAAGTCCTTGGGACGGAAGGGACCGCATTCTTCAATGAAAACCATTCCTTCAGCTTCCCTCAGGGATGTTAGGATAGAAAAGATCTGCTGCAGAAAACAGAACTAAAGCACCAAGTTTTACTTCCCCTTAAGAATGGCCTCCCATAACCAGTTCTTCAATTTTCCCTGTGCCTGCAAGGGGCCGTTCAATTCTAGTCCCCCCCGTCTCCTACAATAGGTTTCATTATTTCCACTGATCAACATTTTGAAATTTATCAGAAATCGACAAGTGTATCATTTAGTGATTTCTTAAATTACCGTTTTTATAGTCTAACCATCTCATAAAATTCTTAAGCATCTTGAGGGTTTTAAAGTTTGTCAATTTCCCTTCCCAACCCCTAGCACTTTAAAGGTATCCAATTAAAAAGTAAATTAATGGAATTAGTAATATGTATGGAATAGGTCACCGTGAAGGTCACTGTCTAATAATCTTCAAAAAGACCTGGGCAGGCAGAGCCCAATAATCTACTTAGGGCTGCTTAGAGCAGTTTGTTGGCTCTCTGACACCTGGTTAGTTGAGTGTTGAGAAGTTACTTAGCTGTGCTTCTCTGAGCTTTCTTTTGTCCTCTCTCCTTCCTCCCCTCTTTCCTCTCCCTTTTCTTCTTTTTAAAATGTTTTTTGAATTTTGAATTTTGAATTTTGAAAAATTTTGGGCCACCAGCCTCTGTATCAAGCACCAGGGTACCAACAGGGGCCAAAATGGACAAGGCCCCTATCCTCATGGAGCTTCTAGTTGAGGGGGGATAAGCATTAAGTAAATCACATTCATGAATGGGGATAAGATGACAAATTATCGTAGACACCACGAAAGACTATAGTGAGGTAGGGGATCAGACTCCGTCTGGGGTTAGGAGACAGCTTCTCTCTATTGAGATATGAGGAATGAGTGGAAACTAAGGGAAGAATACAGTTTCAGGCAGCAGAAAGAGCATGTGCAAAGGCCCTGTGGTGCTGGGAGTTGTGGTTCTCTGGGGAAAAAAATGAAAGAAATCTATTGTGGCTAGATCAGAGAGAACAAAGGTGGGGGTAGGGGATGCTTCTCATGAGGTCAGCTAGGACAGAGACACATGCTCTGTAAAGATTTTGACTTTCAGCTTAAAGAGTATGGGAGGAGGCCACTAAAGTGTTCTAAGAATGGGGCATGGAGGAACTGCGTGAGTGACTTACACATCTTAATTTGTCTCTGCAGGAGCAATGCAGTCATACACGTGGTCTCTGACCTATACGGTGACAACGGCGGCAGGGTCCCCAGCGGAAAACTCCCAACAGCTGCCCTGTATGAGGAGTCCCCATGTGCCTTCTTCCTCCGTCGCACACAGGATACCAGTTTATCCGCACAGAGAGGAGCACGGGTAGGTGACCTGCCTGAGATGCCACTGGACTTCTACATTTGGGGTCATTTAGCAGCTGTTTTCTCAAAGGGCAGGAGGAGTGCTGTCCTCTGCAGGCACTCAGCACCACCCTGAGTATAACAGACTCTTGCAGTCCCCACGGGGCCCTGGTAGTGGGCATTAGCAAGCCCATTTCCCAGATGCGGAAACTGAGATGATGGCTCAAGTTCAGTCCCTCGGGGTCACACAGCTGATAGATGCAGGGCCCAGACTGAGCATCTGTCCTGTCACATCCAAAGCCTGTATTCTTCCCTCTCTTCTGCTTCAGAGCCCCAGCAGAAGACCCCCTTCCAGCAGTTTGCCCAGGCAGTAGAGCCTTGTGGTAGGCTTAGGCCTCCTGTGACTGGATTAGAGGAGGGCTTCCCCACCTGAGGGCTGAAGGTCTCTGGACAGCGGCAGTTGTTAAGGAGGCTCAGGGAACCCCCAGGGGTTCTATTGGTGCTTTGTGCCCAAAGAAATAAGTCATCGGTTTTGCCCATTTTTTCCCCAAATCTCTGTTGGGGAAAAAAAATGTTGTTGCTGTGATGAATGAACCACAAATCCATTAAGAAGTGTTACCTGAAGCAGAGGAGCTTCTTGTCATCATGCAGTGTCTTCATCAAAAGACACGAATCCTAGAATGTCTAATGTGCAGTCATCTGAAAACCACGTGACATTAAAAAGGACCCTTATTCTCAAGAAGGCAAGACTCTGCCACACGGGTACTGGGAGGCGTTTCCAGCTGAGCAGCTGTGGGGGACACGGGAGGAGGCCCCCTCAGGTGTCGTCCACATGGTGGCCCAGCAAAACGCAGCAAGACGCCAACCCCGAGGCTGGACGTCGGCCTGGCTGCTGGCTGACCGACTCCAAGATCTGTCCCCAGGGTCAGGTCCCCCTGACCTTTATTTTCTCAGGGGACCTCTTAGAACATCTTTCCACATCTTTAGAACAGACTTTGAAAATGGTTTCAGGAAGCCTTTTGATTCTGGGGCAATGGCAGAAGAAACACCCATGTGGTCTTCGGTCCGTGTTTTTGCTGAGAAGATGTTATTAAGAAGAACAGTGATAAGAATATCCTGTATTTCATAGGACTTTTATCTTATAGAGGGTTTTCACATATCTGACCCTCAGGATAACCAGGTTCAGCATTTTTACACAAGTGAGAAACAAGACTATGGGTTGCCCAAGGGTCGCACAGCTAAAAAGGGGCGGAGGCAGGTTCTCTGGCACCTGAGTGAGCGGCCCATGATGCATCCCCCATGGGGCAAGCTCACATACAACACCCTGCCCCACTGCGGGCAAGCAAAGGCCTGGACGATACGAAACATAAATCCCCAAGTAATTTCTTCTTTCTTTCCTATTTGACTTCAGGCTATAATATGGGGCTTTCCAACAGAACAGGAGTAGAAATTTCCGTCCCTAATTATGTTTTGCTCTGGGCTGGCTTTCATTCCCTGAGCGCACTCCGAGTGGTAAGGGAGGTGTGCCGAGGAGAGAAGGAAAATCAGCCTGGGAGTTTAAACTCACAACAGGGGGCGATGGTAAGAACCAAAAAGAAGGAGAAAAATGGAAAAGAAGAAAGAAGAACAAAAAGGAAAGAAAAAAAGATGAGGTTGATTTTTGGAGGCATGAAAGTGATCCGCCATCCCCATCCTGACTCCCACTCTTCACTGTGTTTCCTGCGTTTCAGATACACGGGAAGCTACAACTATGGGAGCTATGGCAGCCAGCATCCTCCCCCCATGCAGAGCCAGTACCCGGCCCTCCCCCACGACACGGCCATCTCTGGCCCGCTGCACTACGCCCCTTACCACAGGAGCTCCGCACAGGTGAGTCCACGGTCCTGCTTGCTGGCCCGCCCAGGCCTCGAGGCACTTGGTGGCAGGTCTAGTCAATTTAACACAGTTAATAGGTACCTTCTGTATACCACATGTGTCTGTCACCAAGGAGAGGGGAGGATCCTTTCCTCAGGGTCACGTCCACCTTTTGGTGGCTGCCCACTGAAGTGGGTGCTCGGCCACTGTTCAGGCTCCACTCCCTCTTGCCACGTGGGTGCACACCACCTGTCTTTGGTTCCATCCTCTCTAATCCCAGGATCCAGTCAGCCACCGTGTCTGCTGCCCTGTCTCAGGCAGCCGCCCACACACAGGATCTCTGTCAGCCATCTTGCTGGTGTCGGCCCTCATCGAGTCCTGTCAGGACTGTCACCTGGCAGCATTCTAACTGGTCTCTGGGTCTCATGTCTTTTCCTTTCCAGTCTGATCCACACACACACCCTCACCAGAAGAATGTTCCTGAAATGAACCCTTTATCAGATTATTCTCAAGCCACACACTTCCTTTGGCTCTTCGCTCGTCTAACAAACCAAACCAACCCTCTGTGGCCTGTGGTGAATGCAACTTGTGGTTGCACCTCTAACACCAGTGTTGGGCCCTCTGCTTGTCTAAGACACTGCTCTGGCTTCAGAGGCGGCTGGTCTCCAGTTCTGTTCAATTCTACGTCCTTAACAGCTATGCACCCCGCACTGTCCTTGCCTCAGCTCGGGGCTAAGCTAGATGGTGACAAAATCCTCCCACCGGTCTCTGGGTCACTGAACCTGCCCCCTCTCTGGTCCATCCTCTAGACTGCAGCTGGAGGAGTCTTTTGGAAAAAACCCGACGGGCCATTAATACTCTTTTCTTGTCATCGCATTCAGAGTCACGTTCAGTTCTCTTGTCTCTTATGACATGTTACCTTATAACGTGTCTTGGCATATCTCTTATGACTTGTTACCATCTGGCTTTTGCCTGCTCTGTGGCTGACCAGCCACCCCACTCCCATTTCCTCCAGCCATGCCAACCCCTGTGCGGTTCACAGATGCTCCTCTCCCAGGGTAGGACTTTCTTTCTCCAGACTTTTGCGTGTTGTTCAGGAGCCGCACTTGTCTCTGCAGCACCTCCTGTCACCAGCCCTTCCTTCCTCCAGGACCTATGAGGTCCCACTGCTCTAGACTCACATAGCGCCTCTGTCGGCAACCCTCCTCACACTCTGTTATCATCACTGACTTCTCTGACTCCTGCAGGAGACCCCAGAGCAACTCAAAGGCCAAAAAATAAGTCTAGTGTCCTTGGGTCACAGGCCCTGGCACCTGTCGAGAGCCACAGCTACCTCTGACTGAACACTTGTCATGGGCTGGGCACCATCCTGAGCACTTTACACATCGTCACGGTAATTTGTGCAGAACCTCCTGCCTGAGGATCTGAACCCAGGCAGTGTGACCCCGTGTGTCTAAGCTCCTACACGTGGCCCTCTGCCCCCTCTCCTGTGCCGGCATTCACTAAGAGTTTCTGGAACCAGTGAGACAGGAAGTGAGGCAACACAAGCAACGGGAGTGCAGAGGACCCTCACTCCATGCTGCTGGGGGGCTCGCAGCCAGGCAGGCAGGATGGGAGCGCTGCTTGAGGCGGGGAGTACTCAGGATAAACTGGAAAGGGGCCCAGTACAGGCAGGGAGCTCTGCTGCGGAGCGCTTGTGGGAGTCTAGAAGAGAGATGGCAGGACCCGAGCGAGGGCGGAGGCCGGGATTGCATCAGCTGCTAGCCCGAGGACCAGCCTCAGAGGGGAGGCACTGAGGAGCCTGTATCCACAATACATGGGCGCTCAGGGCAAACAGGTCTCTGTTTTGATTTCCATCTGCAGTACCAAGGGAAGCCCCAGTATAATCCCCAAACAAGCCAAGAAGTTGATTCCACTAAACCATCACCCGGGGCATTCATTATAGGTCTCCCAACTGCGTCATGCAGAGAAGCTGGCTCCTGAGGTCCTGCTTCCCTTGGGAGCAGAGTCTGTGCTCCTCACTGTGATCTGCAAAATACCTCCGAGCTGCTCTGAGGCCGGCTCACACTGAACAGAAGCAGCTCACGTGGGCCTTTACTCACTCACTCATTCATTCATTCATTCCTCAAATGACTGTGGGATGCTTGCTGTGTGGCAAGCGGGTGCCAGTCCCTGATCAGACAGTGGAGAAAGGGACAGAAGCGCACCTGCCCTTGGAGAGCTCAGGCTCCAGTAGGAGACAGTCATCTAAGCAGCAGTGGCCAGATCAAGCTCAAGTCCTAAGCCGCAGTGCCCGTCATTGTCCTCCCTCTTTCTTCCCTCCCTCATCCTTACTCGTGAAATTTTAGGGGTGATATCTTTAAAGCCATGGCCATAAAGAGAAACCAGGGTCTCCTAAAGGCCCGTGTGGCCCCTGGTGATCAAAGATAGGTCTGCAGCCTCCACTCTGGAAGCCACAGAAGTCCCGGAACGGAACACTATCATTTAATAGCAGCTCTTAATCAAAGGACCAAGGACTAATTGAAAGCCCATGGAGGAGCCCTTTGAATCCAGATGAGGGGTGAGAGGTGACAGGGTTGGGCAGCACCATGCCCTCCGCCCCTCTGACAAGGCCTTTTGACAACCTCTGACCCCCACCCCACACTCACACTCTGTGCTGGAAGGGTTATGCCTTAGCCTCCATTTGTTAAGTGGGGTGAGAAGTTAATTATATCACCTCTCTACCCGGGTTGATTGGGGGGGGTGTGGCCAGTACAACACAAAGAATCCTTTGTTTTTTCATTAACATATATGCATCAAGCCCTGTTTTAGACACTTGCAAATACACAGACTCACTTAATTCTCATAGCAACCTGGGGAAGAAGGCATTTTTCTCCAGTTTCTAAAGATGAGGAGATGGCCTCATAAGGTAATTTGCCCCAGCTTATGCATCCAGTAAGTAGCAAAGCAGACTCAAATGCAAATTCTTCAGCTCTGAACCCCAAGCCCAGGGCCATGCACACTACCCCCAATGTGTTTTTGGAGGGTAGATGCGAATTCAAGAAGTTACTACAACTATTCCCAGTCAGTTTCAAGGGACCAAAGAGAAGAATCCCATACCCTAGACTCCCTCTTTCTTTCTTCCTGTGGTACTCTGGTTTAACCTTGAGCATAGAGGGGAAAACCCACTGCAGGGCTGATTAGTACCTAAGTACTGAATATCACACTTCATTATATCAGACTCACTGGGGAAAAGATCAGTCTGAACTGGAGAAAAACCACAATTATAGAACACGGTTAAAGAACGCAGGTGGTCATCAGCACTAGAGTAACTGAAACCAATCTTGGCAAATGAACGCCCGTCTTCAGGACGAATGCAGTGTGTCCGGGAAGTGCCGCCATCCTGCGTCCCAGCCCCAGCGGGTGTATGCTCGGAATAATCAGAACCCACTTCTTTTTTGTTGTTGTTGTTGTTTTTTAAATATTTTATTTATTTATTTGACAGACAGAGATCACAAGTAGGCAGAGAGACAGACAGAGAGAGGGGGGAAGCAGGCTTCCCGCTGAGCAGAGAGCCCGACGCAGGGCTCGATCCCAGGATCCCGGGATCACGACCTGAGCAGAAGGCAGAGGCTTTAACCCACTGAGCCCCCCGGGCACCCCCCCCCATTTGGTTTTCGAACTGGAGTATGTGTGTGCCCTTATCTGTACTAGTTATTTGCACAACACACGCTTTCCTCTTGGGTAATAACAAACATAGACCTCCAGTCCTGCTTGAATTCTCATAGTTTCTGAATTAGTGAGTCCCGATGAAGGAGGTTTCACACTGTAAGGCTTGAACGATTTCAGAAAAACACCCTTCTTGTGACTAGCGACTATGCCATACTTGTTCACATCCAACTAAGTGAACGAGGGATGGTCTTGGTTGCCTCTTCCCAGGTGCCCCATTCCCATGCCCAACCAAACAGGGAAAACCAACCAGACCAAATCTGTGGCTGCAAAAGATTTCTGAGCCTCATTCAACACACATTTGTGGAACTTCTGCCCCCCCTCAGCGGCGATGAATGTGCACTGGGCCCTGAAGCCCAAAAGCCATTTGATCAACTAGAAGCTGGAGGGCTAGAAATTCCCCTAGCGTGGACTAGAAAGCTGTGCTTTAGCCCTCATCTGCATGGTCAAGGCCAGGCCTTGCCAGCCAATCCCACAGCTCTCACAGAATCTCCAGTGGCCCCGCCCTGCCCAGGGCCATTCTGCTTAGGGCGTTCCCCTGAGCCAAAGGGGAGAAAAGTCAATCAGCCAGGGTAGTGGAAGATCTCTGACTGCAGAGCCAGCATCCTGGGTTCAAATCCCAGCTCTGCCTCTAATCAATTCCCTTATCTGAAAAATGGGGAGGATCGTAGTACATACTTATCAGGGTTGTGAGGGTTAAGTGAGTTGATAAAGATTGGAACAGGGCCTGGCTCATGGGTAACACTATTTGTGTAGATCATCTTTCGTGACACCAACTGTGTAATTGAAGAATATCTATTTCTTTCGCTCTACTAGCTCTACGGAGACAGGGACCATATCTTTTCTTCCCGGCTATTATATCCCCAGGGCTCAGAATAGATGTGGCTTTTAGCAGGTGTTCAGTTAAGTATCTGTCCATGAAACAAAATGAATGAATGGCTCCTCACTCTGGTACTAAGTTGCTCTGTGACCTCAAGCAGATCGTGTCCCCTTTCTTGACCTCAGTTCCTGCATCTGTGGAAGGAGAGGTAGGACCAGATGGTCTGTCACTAAGGCTCTTCTATCATTAACAGATCATGATCCTATGATGCAAAGAAGAATACTAGTAACAGCTAACACATTTTGAAAACTTACTATGTGGGAGTTCTAAGTGTTTCATGTGTATTAACTCATTTAATCCAGACCCTAAAAGCTCAGCGGATGTGGCTTGTCTGGCCAAGATTTGGGGGGGGCGGGGGGAGCTACATCCTCTTCCAGAAGAGGCTAAGAGGAAGCCTGCCCAGGGGCAGGCCCACTGGCAGAAACTCGGTGCGGTGTGAGAGCCGCCTTTCATAGGAAAACAGTTTGTGCTTCTGACTAGGCCACCTTTCACCCCTTGCTCAAGGAGCAGCCCATTTGCTGAGGGTCCGGGATAAAGGGCTCATTCTTCCCTCTTCATGTGCAGGACCATCGAGTCAGCCTTGGGGTGGGGACTTGTTTCTCAAAATAGAACTTCCTAATGTGATTCCAGAGAGGCCCAGAATCAATCACAGCTGGGATGGCCACCTGACAGAAAGTCGGACTCCTGATGCACGCGCACATGCACGCACATGTGCCCACAAGCCCCCCTCGCACCCCTCTCTCACCGGGCGGGGACTGGGGACTTCTCCCCAGCTTAACATCAGTGACCACAGCGTGTAATTTAAGCCAGCAAATGGTAACTTCCTGTTATGGGCCCTCAACAAAAAGCTCCTTTATTCTGGGCAGAGCTCTCTGGACCCCAGGGTTTGTGCCCAGCATGCTTGAGGACCCCGAACGAAACCGGATGTAAAGTGTGAAAGGTGAGGCGGGTGCCACAGGCCGGCCTCAGCCGCTCCCGCCAGACTGAATAGAAGCTTCATTGGTGGCTTTAATCACCAGGCTGAGGCAGCGGGCACTTCAGCCTCTCATCTTTCAATGGTCTCTTCACCACGGGGAAAACGAGTCACTGACTCATTTGCAATTAGCTGACCTAACGGGACAGATTTTTCCATGCTGGATTCTGTGGTAACAGGATTTTATTGTCCCATTAGAGATATTTTGAGCCAGTCTCATTTCCAGGCAATTACGCTTTTGAGCCTGTGACACCACCCCTGGGCACAGCTGCATCTAGGGTCCTGGATTAGGCACAAAAGCCACACTCTCTTGGGTTCTATGGGAAAGAGGCTCCATAAGTCCATATGGCGACATTTTACCTACACAGGCCAAGCCAAGGCAGGTTCTGTCAGAATGAGCAGGAAGAGGTCTGGTCAGCGCTCTAAGACCCCAGGGGGTCTTAGAGGAGGGGGCTTAAAGCAAGAGGGACAGAGACATTAAGGTATAATGGGGCGTGTTCCAAAACAGGCATGTCTTCCTCTCTCACGTGATTCAGTCATGGCTGGTTATGCCTAGTTTGTGCCACAGCGATGTGGGGGGACACGCTACCCCAGCCCTGGGTTTCCGTGCTAGCCTCACGTTAGCCTGCCGGTGGCTGTGGGCAGGGTGCTTCACCTCCTGGGTCCTGGGGCTCTCATGTGCATACACGGCCTGGAGTATGTGATCCCTGAGCTGCTTTCTAGTGGTAACACCCTGGTGTTCGGTTGCCAGATAGCTGCTGGGATGCCCGGCATCATTCCAGATATTGGGAATATGGTAGTGAACATGGCGAAGCCCAGCCAGGAGTTTATGAATAGAAAGCAGTGGAAAGAGACAGCTAACAAGCAGGATGGTAAGGGCCTGACCTGAGAGGCAGAGCGTGGAGCATTTAGCATCCTGAGATAGGATGTCCAGAAAAGTCTCTGAGGAGATGATGTTTGTGCTGAGATCTGAAGGAGGTTCAAAAGGCAGGTGATGCAAGGAGCCTGGGGCTAGGGCTGGAAACAAGTTCTAGGCAGCGGGAACAGGTAGGACCAAATTCCCTGAGAGGGGAACCAGCCTAGCATGCCACAGATGGGAGAGGGGGCCTCTGGGCCAGGGAGAGCACCATGAGCCAAGGTGACATGCATGTAGGGAGCTTACTTAGGAGACTATCAGGAGGGGGAAGCAATCTTTTGGGGAAAATGCAAGACTGTTTTGTAATAATATTAACATTACCTGTGTGATACCTGGGATCTTGTTTTCTTGGGCAAGGTCAAGTACCACTATGATCTCAGGCCTGAGGCTTCACCATGGCTGCCACACACACAGGACCATGTAGATTCTTGTACTGGGCACAGGAGTGCACTCAAGGGTTTCTGATCCAATTCGGGGATATGAAAGCCTTGGTATGCGTTCAGAGCCCTGGGTGCTTCTCCCTTGACTTCCCAGACCCCATCTCCACTCTTCTCCCTCTCTCTGACCTGTTCTTGGGCTGGGAAGTGGCTGCAGTTTCAATACAAGGCATGCTTTCCCATATAAAGAAACCCTTCTTACCAGGAGTTGGAGCCGTCTCTCTTGATCCCTGAGTAACTGTTTCTCTCTGCATGCTTTGGGCCTAACAACCTGCCCCTGCCTTCCTCAGGCTCCCACTCAAAGCAGCAGAATGGTTCCGTGTGGCCCCCTTGACTAAAGGGAGCAGCCACTGTTGTCAGAATCCCTTCTCAAGGCTGTCTCGGCTTCAGCCTGTCTGTCTCCCTCCTACCTAATCCCTCGGGGCTCCACTCTCCAACTGTCAGGGAAGACAGATGGGGAGCAGAAGAATTCATACTTACTCTCTCTCCCCTATTCGCTGCCTTTGCCATCCTTGTTGACTGCCTCCCATCCTTGCTGGGGTGGCCCTTCTGTAGCCCAGGGAGGAAGTCTGGGTGTGAACCTGCCGGCAACTTGGAGCTCTCGAAGGGAGCCTGAAGCGCCAGGAGTTCCTCCCCTCTAAAAGGGGCTTATTTGCATAGCTGTCTTGGAAACAGAAAAGAATGTGGAAGAAGCACTTCTCTTATTCCCAGTTCTTTCTAGAGCTACTTCCCCTCTTCTGCCCTCCACAAAAGCACCCCTCCCATCCCCTCTCCATTGGCTTATCTCGACTCCTTCCTCCACATTCACACCAAGCCCGACAATTCACCATTTCCTACTTTGTGCCTCTTTCAGGACTTCAGTGAATGTGAACCAAAAAGAGAGATGTTCTCTAAATGATAGACACTAATAATAACCTTTGAAGCTGTTGGCTTGCTTCCTCTCCAAAAGCCTGCTTTTAGGCTGCAGTTCATAATTGAATTCAACTGTAAAATGCTATTTTTAATAATGTCACTGTGTTTTACTTGGTGGTAGTATTCTCTTGGGTTGATGAAATGAGACCTGTCACATCTCCCTAATGGTAAAATTCACAGCCATACCTCCATATGTCCGTATCTGTTTGGACATGCTGTTACTTGTACACACACACACACACACACACACACACACACACACCCCTCTACCTGTACTCCAGTGGGGCTCTTCCTTCTTTTGGATTTGACTTCCCCAAATATTCTAGATTCCAAGCACAAAATCAGTACTCTTACTTGAGTGAACACCAACTGTAGATATGAAATCCTTTGCATTTCTCCTGTTGGTTCCTTCCTAGACGAAGGTTCCATCTTTCAGAAGTTCACTGATTTCCTTCCTATCAACTTTCATTAATAGCATCTTAAGAAATTAACTTAAACTGTGAGCATGACCAATATTGTGTATATGCAACTTGCAAGCTAAGTTTAACTTTGTGGAATTTCTTTCCCCTCAACAAGTACCCTTTCAATAGCCCTACTTCCCGGATGGAACCCTGTTTGATGAGCAGTACTCCCAGACTGCATCCCACCCCAGTCACCCCCCGATGGCCAGAGGTGCCCACAGCCAACACGTGCTACACAAGCCCGTCTGTGCATTCCACGAGGTATGGAAACTCTAGTGACATGTACACACCCCTGACCACGCGCAGGAATTCTGAGTACGAGCACATGCAACACTTTCCTGGCTTTGCTTACATCAACGGAGAGGCCTCCACAGGATGGGCTAAATGACTGCTATTGCAGGAATCCATATTTAATATTAATAATAATTATTAATAATAATAAACCCAACAACCCACCCCCAGAAGACGTTATCTCTATACATCATAACTCATGGACTACTCCTAGGTGTCCATTTCCCTAATGAACGTGAGTCTGGGATTCAGTGTGGAATGAATCAACTTTAGTTCAGAAACAGGACTCACTGAAAGTCCTTCTTGAGATTGGGTTCCTGTAGCCAAGCCAGACTTGACTGTTTCTATAGAGCACTATTTTGGGCAGGCCAATCTGTGCCTTTTCCCTCTGTTCCATGACTTTGCTTTGTGTCGGCAAACACTCCCCATAAGCTACTTATTTTCCTGTTGACAAAAGCTCATTAGTCTTGATGGATACTAGAGACAGAGTCTGGTTTGTGTTCTTGGATGGGCACATAATTTACCAAGAGCATTCACCTTGCCGTCTGTCAGTCATCTTACTGTACAACGAACAGCCGTCAGGTATGTTCTACGCCTCCCTTCTTCCTGGTGGTGCCATCACTGCTTCCGGGAGCACCAGAGCAAAACGCTGGTGTCTGGAAAACTCTAGAGTCCCTGTTACTACACCCATGTCTTTCCCAGTACCTGCATTGTCTTGGAATGTAAGCACTGTCTAGAGGGAAGGAAGAGGCCTGTTCTGTATGCCTTAAGTTGATTGAGGTTGGTAGAGGACCGGGTCTTCTACATACAAGTATTTGTCCTAAGTTTGCACAATGGCTAGTGTCAGCAAAAGGCAGGAGAGGGGTTTTTAAAATTCTGTGAGAATGTGGGTTTATGGTATTGAGTATAACACTCAGCTCTGCTGTATTAACTTTGTGAAACCAGATGGACCAAACGTTCACTTACCAAGCACCAAGTGTGAAAACGACTTTCATGGTTCCTTCATAAGACCATAATAATTTCCGACACTTTGATAGAAAAAAAAAATTCAAAGCTGTGCCTTTGAGCCTATACTATACTGTGTATGTGTGGAAATAAGAAAATGTATTGTACTTTTGGAAAATTTTTTCGTAGGCATTTTTCTGTCAGATTTGTAGCAATTTGTGAGGTTTGTTAGAGATTAACATAGGTTTTCTTTCTGTATTATAAAATGCACCAAGCAATTATGGTGGACCTATTACCCTATGGGTAAGAAATAAATGGAAATATGACATCGGATGTTTTAGCAGTTGTTCTGTAAATAAAATCTTTGATCACACCACTCAGTGTGATAATCATGTCTACAGCTAAAATGGAAATAGTTTTATCTGTACAGTTGTGCAAGATATGGATGGTTTCACACTCAAATAAAAAGTATTGAAATGACCTCTTTCTTCATTTTCATTTTGCATTTGACATTTGACAATTTGTGTGTGCGTGTGTGTCAGAGAGAGAGAGAGAAATAAAGAGTAATACATAGCATTGTGAACACTTAGGGTCGAAGTAGGCAAAATTAGGTGGCCTCATCTGATTGTGCTTATCCACTTCCCCCATCATCTTGTCATAAAACAATCACTACCGTTTGATGGGCCACACATCCGGTCCTTGACTGATGTAGCATTGATAGCCTAATGGGGGTTTGTAGGGGACCAATTCTACATACAAGGATTTGGCTTAGGTTTGCACGATGGCTAGCGTCAGCAAAGAGCAGGTCTTATAGGGAATATTATTCTTCAATACCAGCATCATGAAGAGGTGCCCTGGTACTTAGTTCATTATGCTTTAATGATCACTGGGTGTAAAGGTATTTCAAGCGCAGGGCTTTAACTACTAATAAACTTCTGGGATAGAACAGTAACATTACTGAATACTTAATAAGTTTCAACAAATTCTTCTCCAGCTCTTCATTTTAATGATAGGGCTGAGGAGTGAGGATACAGAGGCAAAATGACTATTTTGTCCAAACATTAAAGAGTAGGATCTATGAGAAATTGAGAGCCACAGATTTCCAGAAATGGCAGAAGTGACTATTTTAACTAAAAGGCAAGAGAATTTGACAACTCAATTTGCATGTTGAAAGATTTATTTTTAAAGCCAAGGTCTTACTTGCCATTACATAACATATTTATACCTAAAAATGAGTTTAGGATTAAAATGATATATTTTACATAGCATCCCTTAAAAATATTTCCCTGTGTTGTTCAACAAAAAGAAAGCAGATGTTGGATTTCACTCTCTGAAGGTAAATTAGTTTGATCTCTCGGCCACGATGTGTTAGTTGGCCCAGTCTGAGGAAAGCAGCGCTGGAGGCGGGGGGGTGAAGAAGAAAAAATGTCAGAGTTAGTCACCGTGTAACAGGAACCGGAGAAGAACCAGGCCTGTTGCTCTCTTACAATAGAAAGCTAGTGCTCCGTAAAGGAAAGGATGTAGTCAGTCTGACATTGGACTTACCAAGCACGAAAAAAATGAAGCATCTGCCAAATTTTCTGGCCAGGTAGCACATAACGAACAACACTTGCACATAAGTAACAGCCCCAAGGTCGTTAAATGGACAGATCTTGAGGCAGAGATCGTCTCAACCAACAAGGGCCCAATCCCAGAGAACAGAGTGATCATTGCATCGACTTTGCAGGGGAGAGAACGCATGCCTCCTCCTCACCGCAGAGCCGAGGATGGGGTTCGGCGCTGTAGGAAGACCGCAGCTTTCCATGAGGACGGGGTTGCTGGGCGCTCTCTCCAGAACGCAAGGTGCCCGCTCTTGGGAGTGGAGTGTACTGCCCATGTTCCCAATTGTTCTAAACCTTCCATTTCAGAACTGAGAAGGATCTGATTAGGAAAAGACAACAGCTGCTGTGAACTCGTGACTCAAATGCACCTTCTCTCCCCTCTGATGGTTCCTCGCCAGTGACCAGAATGGGAACGGGCAAGGTTGGCAGCTGGGAGTAGGGCCAGTCACTTGTCAGAGGAAGAACAGAGGAGTCTTGGCAATAAAGGGACACTCCCCTCCTCAGGACTCTTTCTGAAAAGGACTCTGCCAGCTTGAAACTGGCTGAAGTCATGAACAGCAGCCAGGACGGCTCACCCACGCTGCAGGCCTGTGGTGTCCTAGGCATCCACCCTGCTGTGTCCCTTTGTCAGGCCTCTCGTGTGCCCCAGGTCTGGGAAGAAAGGGAATCTGTGGCCCTTCTGAGATTGCAACCCAGTCAGAGACCAATCAGAAATGTGTGCCATTGGGCAAGCCCAACCCAAATGGGGAGAGGGACTGAAATCTTGGAAAGAGATCTGAAAGGGAGTCTTGGCTTCACCACCACGTGACCTCGGAGGCATTACCTCCTCACTGAGGACCTCAAGTGGGCAGGTTCTAGGACTATAACAACTCAAGATTATGGCCTGTGCGCTGATGGAGCAAGGCCGGCAGATCCGGGTGCGGAGGGCAGACAGCTCAGGGGAGACAAAGAATGGACTGGCAGCTGGGCAGTGACTCAGAGAGGGAGCCACAAGAGAGAGGCGACGGCTCCACCAGCTGGTGCTCAGACACAGCCCAGGGTTCGTGCCCATGAGCCGGGCCGGAAACCTGCCCCCGCCACTGAGTGAGGCGTACCCCCTTCCTCAGAGCCAGTCCCCCCTCTTCCACGGCTCTGGACTGCGGTCTTCTGCTGTTTCCCCTGCCTCCAGCTCTGTCCTTCACACTTGCTTTAAAGTGACATCAATCAAAAGGTCGGAAGCGAATCGGCCGATGGAAAGAGCAAAAACAAACGGGCTGTTTGTCCCAACGTCTTGTACGTCTTAAAGGCAGAATCACAAGATTTAAAAAAAAAAAGTAAATGCTGGGGAAGGGATAGTATAAATACTCCCTTTATTAAAGGGAAAAGCGCATGTGTGTGTGGGGCGGAGGGGCTTGATGTAGGTCTCCTGAAGCACAGAGTTCACACTTAGTCAAGAGCCGGAAATGTGCAACACGTTGTCACTGCAAGCTTAAGAGAAAAAGATGGCTCTCCTCCTTGGCTTCGAAGTGAGGAAGCCCCAAGATTAAATCTCGCTCCCACTGAAGATGCTATAGAAGGGACATTCCTTCTCTAAGTAGGCCTGGACTTCAGCGGCTCTCAACTCTGGCTGCCCAGTGGAGTTAACCCTGTCCACGTTTTTAAAAATACTGACGCATACGTCCTATCACAGTAAGTAATTGGCCAGGAATGTGACAACCCACCAACCCCCCGCCCCCAACAACAGCACCAGCAGCTTTCAAGCTCCCCAGGTAATTCTAATATGCAGCCCAGGTTGAGAAGCCCTTCCACCTCCACGCTCTAAGATCCAGGGGACTGCTACTCCCTGAGTGCACACCCCGGGGTTCCAGTCTGTCCAGAGTGGAGAAAGGTGCCACTCCCCATAATCTAGGCCGCCTGGGTTCCCTGCAGCTGACGAAGCTACCCCTAAGGGCACTGTGTGGTTTGCCCTTCAGCCCAGCCCACCTCCCTACCGCCGCCTGCCCTCCTAACCCGGACCTTCTCTGCTTCAGTTCCTTGGCAACCTCCCAAGCTGAACCTGCTTGGACGCGGCCCCTGTGCTTTCCTCTTCTTCCAAGGAGGTCAGAACCTTTTGTGCTTCGTCAGCCTCCTCCCTGAAGCTCTTCCCCCGGCCCTCCTCCTGCACCTCGCGCCCCCCCCCAGCCTTCTCACCCCCATATTTTGCTGCTGCTGGTGTAGGTGCGACAGAAGACGTGGGCCCCAAGAGTTGAGAAAGGAGCTGTTGCTAGGAAAGGAGTGTGGGTGAAAAGAGGTGGTGGGCGGGAGAAACAGGGCTCCCCAGTCGTATTCCTCCCTTCGCCATCATAAATGCCTAAGAGCTAAAACCAGCTGTTTGAGAAGGATGATGAGAAATGATGAGGTCTGACTGCGACAGCAGGGGTGAGAGAATCAGCCTTGGGAACAGCTGCAGGGCTGCCGCTCGGTATTGAGACTGGCCTCCTGAGAGGGGGAAAGAGCCTCGGAGAGAAGCTGAGAAGAGTGGATTCTTCGGGAACTGCCAGACTGTGCTCCCACTGGGGCTGACCTCCCGAGTGTCCGGTCCCGCGCCTCTCAGACCCCATCAATGGCGAGAAGTGAGATGAGTCAAAGCAAGTGAGTCTAAGCGAGGAGCCCCACAACACGCTCCCCTCCCCTCGCTCTGGGCGATAGG